AGAGCATGGATGGGCAATCTTTTTCTATGTAAGGGCTGCATTTCAAAACTTTTGAACTGATGTGGGCCAAGACCATACAAGACAAAAGGAGAGAAAAAAATGTTGGTAAATCACAATTATTTATTCATATATAATTATAAATTAGCATAGGTATACTTAATTTAGCTTCTGGAACTGATGTAAATATATCAGAAATATTTGGTTAAATATTAATTGCTGCTAGCGTTAAATTAGTTTCGATGTGTCTGTTAGCCAGTTTTTTGTTTTAATTTTTACTAAATTCATTGTGGAAAAACTATTCGCATACATAAGTTGTAGAAAATAACTTTTGAATTTTTGCTGCATACTTCCTTAAGCTGGGAAATTGATATATTTATTCATATTTTACACGGACTGAAAAAAATATTGCTGCGGGTTGCCCATCTCTGTCATAGAGCACAGCATTACCTGTCCATAGAGAATAGTTAAAAATTTCTGTGAAAAAAATGGATTTAATATTTCCATTAAAAATATGTTTTTTTGCATTTTCACAAGCCATATTGTCTGTGATCATCGAAGATGATGCAGTAATCGACTAGTTGATCACAATCAACTTTACCTGTTCTATAGCTAACTTGGACAGAGTGAAAAATTTTGTCTAAAAGATTGTTTGGCAGTTTGGTTAATCACTTTTGTTAAACTTAAGAAATCTGACACCATGCTAAAAAATAAACCAAAATAACTGTTCAGTTTATAAAGCTGATATTTTTTAAAAGAAATTTATTTTATTGCAGTTGTTTAGTTTATTATTAAACATTGGGTTTTGAGATGTTTATATGTAAAATTTATTTTAGTCAATTACATCCTCAGTTTACAACAACTGAATCAATTGACTAGAATGATGTAGAACACATTTGAATACAATCTGTACACATTTGTATATAATAGAATTTTTTAAATTATAATATTCAGAATAATAATTGCTCTGTAACTAATTTTTCAATTGAATTATTGTAAACTGAAGATATTTGATGAAAAATGCTTCTTTTATTGAAAGTGTTGCTTTCTAAACTAAACAATTATTAGTTAATCTGTTCATTTGATTAGTGAAGTTTATCAAGTTGTTTGTATATGTTATATTAGTTAATCATTTGATACAGGTTGTATTTATAGATATTGTTATAAGTTATGTAAAATTATAAAAATTAACTGTCCTAAAACATAAGTTAAAAATAAAATATAAAACATAAATTATAAAACTTTGCTTATTGTAATCAGTTTTGGCTATAATGATCAGGTAAATAGTAGTTTTGAGCTAACTTTTTACATTATCAGCCTTAAAATGTGGCTGGCAATGTGCAATCACTATTAGGTATCAGCTATTATTAGTCTTAGCATTTTAAATGTTAATTGTTTTAATTGTTATTTGATTAAAGTATAGTCTTTTAAATTGCTAGGGTTTCTTGCTTCTATTATACACAGGTTTGTAAAGATGGTACTGCAAGAAATAATACACAAACAATACCGGATGAATTACTATATATTAATAATTATAATTAATAAATTGTCAAGTGAAATGGTTTTAATTGTTTCAATGTATCTTTTTAATGTCAGAATTAATAAAATCAGAATTTCTATTAATTGTCTTATTTACTTACCTCTGTTATCATCATCAGTATAAACATGTCCCAAATTAATTAAACAAGCAGATTTTACTGTATTAACATAGTCTCTCTTACTATATCTTATCTCAAAGAATTAAGTCTATGTTTGTATTTAAATTGAATTTAAAGTTTGATTTTATATATTCAATACAAGTTAACTATAGATTATAAATGTATTTTTCAGTTAGCCAAAACATCTCCTTTATTAAGCAAGATGGCTGATATTTATATAGTTGAAGTTGAAGATGTTCCTGTATATACACATTATTTTGATATCACTTTAATACCAGCTACAGTATTTTTTTTCAATGGACAGCATATTAAAGTTGATTATGGGTAAATGTATCATTTTTATATTATATATGTAGTAATTATTTTTAATATAATGTCAATATAAATAATTTATAAATCAATTTATATTTAAATATTTTAAATTATTTCAGGACACAAGATCATACAAAATTTATAGGATGTTTTCAAGAAAAACAAGATTTTATTGATTTAATAGAGGTTATTTATAGAGGTGCAATGCAAGGGAAGTTGATGATAAACTCGCCCATTGATCGAACAAAAATACCAAAATTTGACCTTTTATATAAAGATATATGAAATTTCAAGATGACGATGATGAAATATAAAGATTTATATAATGATGATTTACGATAATGAGGTTAGTCTTTGTAATAATTTAAAATTTTATAATAATAATACAGAATTTATAAAAATTTAACAAATATAAATAGTAACTTTATATTTTGTAATAGTAATAACAATAAAGTCTGTGTAAATATGAATCATAAGGTACTGAATTATTTTTTCTGTTTTGAACAGTTTTAGTATTTGTTTTTCTTCTTTTTATCTTTAAACTACATCATATAAATGTCAGAGTTATGTTCATTTTTTATAGTAAAATCACTTTTATATGCATAAAAAGTTTTATTACTAGGTTTAAACGTAATTAATCAAAAGTGATTTCAAGTAAAGATAGAAGTATCAAATGTGAAAATTGAGAACTATTCATTTGATAAAATGGCTGGAACAATAAGTATAAATATAGAAAATGTACAAAAAACAAAGTGAGAAGACACTTTTTAAAGCATTTGTAAAGTAAATTTATTGACTTTCTAAATTTATTTGATTGCAAAATGTTTTTGTTGTTCAAGAACTTGTTTTAGGTATGTTGATAGTTCTCAGAAAAATTAGCCTACATGACAGCAAACAAGACAATTCAATTATTAAGAACTTGCATCTTACTCTCCTGTCAGAAATTCTAATTGCATTACATACAATAATACAGAGACTAAGTTGTTCTGTGGACTGCCATCTTGTGGAATTTTAATACTTTAATTAATTGTTTACTTCAATCTCTGTAATTATTAACATGTTAATCAACTTTTTTCTGAATACTTTGTACTAG